TGGGGACCTCACTTCACTGAGATTCCCCTGGGGACTGGGTCTGGTTCACTGATGAGTGGCTGGGCTGGTGCCCATGTCCACTGGACTGCTGTGGCTGTTCAGCCTCAGAGCCAGCTATGCAGAACCAGGAGTGGACGTGGTCACTGGTCTCAGCAGCAGAACTCAGACGACTTGGCTTTTGCCCAGATGGTCTAGATGTTTGTTCCACTACGTGGAGAACTACAGACTGGCAGATTAAGGACACCCTTCTCTGGGGCCATAAACTGGAAACAAATGTGCTTGCTGATTGACCAGACAGGGTGCTCTTGGAAGTGCCAAGTGGGACTTGGTCTCTGCTAAAGGAGGCTGACCCTAGGTTTCTGTGCAGAGGCTGCTACTGTATGTTAGACCTGTGACTCCGGCTGGAAATTGACCTGTTATCTCACTGGCAGAGCCACAGCACTGGTGGCCTTGCCCTTGCCTACTTCTGCCACAGTGATGACCCTCCTTCAGGGTGCATTGTAAAGTCAAAAAATCTTAAGTCAAATTATTACAAACCCAGATACTTCTAGACTTATGGTGGGGTTATCTTCTGATAAAACCAAAAAATTGTAAGTTGAGTCATTGTAAGTCAGGAGCTGTCCATATCGATTTACAGTAAGAGAAATAGAACAGTATGAATAGATTTATTTAGATATATAATATAATACTAAATGTGTTAATACAAGCATACAAATAATCTGGAAAGTATACACCAAACTTTACACGGAACATATTCTTTAAAATCAGGGAAAAAAAACAACATAGCAATTTTAAGAAACACAGAATTGTTATTTTAAAAGATCTAATGTAAGCATATAAGGTAAAATATTCTCTCTCTTTTTTTCTGTCTTACAAAAGGTATTAATTCTCTATTGCTTCTGCAGTAAATTACCATACACTTAGTCGCCTAAAACAATATAAATTTATTATCTTACATTTCTGTAGGTCAGAAATCTGACATGGGATCTCACAGGCTAAAATCAAGGAGTCCACAGGGCTTTGTTCCTTCCTGGAGGCTTTAGGGGAAAATCTATTTCTTTGCCTCTTCCGGTTTCTGCAGGCTGCCCACATTCTGTGGTCGTGGACCCCGCGTTCATCTTCAAAGCCAGCTACATTGGTCTGGGATCATTCTGTTGTCACATATCCCTCTCTCCACGGAGGAAAGGTTCTCTGATTTTAAGGACCCATGTGATTTGATTGGGACCACCCAAATAATTCAGAATAATTTATCTACATTGAGATTCTTAACTTCATCACATCTTCAAAGTCCCTTCTGCCACATAGAGTAACAGATTGTAGGTTCTACAGGACATGGACATCTGTGGTTTTCATGGTAGAGAATCCTCAAGAATCCTGTGAATCTCCCAGGTGTGTCTGTCTGGGGATTTATTCCATTAGACGAGAGGCTTCTCCACGAATCATTTCTAGATAATCATTTATGTATTTTGACTTCTTCTGATACAGCTTAGGGGACCTATAAATCACATACCTAATCTTTGCAAATAACCTTCTGTGTGAATGAATACTCTGACTTTTCACGACTTCCCAGGCACTAGCTACAAGTTGTGTACCCACACTCTTGATTGTCCCCACAAAGCACACTTTCCTGACAGTGAATCTCCTAATGTGAGCATCTTTTGCAACCTGGATAGGCTGTGAATTTTCGAAATCATCAAGTCCTGATTCCTTTTTGTTTAGCAGTTTTTCCCTCAATTCACCTTTTCCCTCTCACATTCTACGATAATCAGCAAAAAGAAACCAAGATGCACCTTCATCACTGTGTTTGGAAAAATCTTTAGCCACATATTTAGAAAGTTCTGCTTTCCACATAACTGCAGAACAGAATTTTTCTAAACATTCTATAAATTTATATATAGAAACTATGTAATATGGCGACTATGTAATAAGAATCTCCTTTCCTCTAGTTTCCAAAAACATGTTTCTTATTTTTTTGTGAGCCCTCACCAGTGGCACCATTAATTTCCATATTTCTACCAACAGCCTGTTCATGGTGATTTAGGTATTCTCTAGGACAATATACGTTTTCTCTACCATGTTACTCATTTCCTTCTGAGTCCTCACTACCACAGTCTTTAGCATGTGCATCTCTACAAGGCAATCTAGGCCTTTTCTATCAAGCTATTTAAAATTCTTCCCCTGCCGGCAACTGCCTAAATCCAAATCCACTTTCACATTATAAGGAATGTATTAAAGCCACACCCCACATTCAAGTACCAAATTCTGTATTACTCTTCACTGCTGCCATAACAAATAACCACAAATTTAGTGGCTTCAAACAAAACAAATGTGTTATTCAATGGTTAACGTCAGTCAGAAGTCTGACACAGGGCTCACTGGGCCATCAAGGTATCAGCAGGCCTTCATTCCTTTCTGGAGGCTATAGGAGAGTTTTTCCAGCTTCTAGAGGTCACCCACATTCCTTGGTCCCTTTCTGCATCTTCAAAGCCAGCAATACCGCATCTTTCTGACCATCCTTCCCTAGTCACGTCTTCTTTTCTTCACACCCAGGAAAGGTTCTCCACTTTTTATGGCTCATGAGATTAGATTGAGCCCACCCAGATAATTCAGAATAATTCCCCCATCTCAAGCTCTCTAGTTTAATTGTATCCGCAAAGTCCTTTTGCCATGTAAGATAGCAGATTACAGGTTCCGAATACTAGGACATAAACATCTGCGGGAGGCCGTCAGTCTGTCTACCACAGTATTATAAATAAAAATAAAAAAAATAGCACTAAAATTCTGGAATTAAAAAACTTATTTGCAGCATCAGAAGCAAGTACATTCTTATTTATTCTTACTTCTTTTCCTGGAGGGTTTTCCCAAAGTAGAGTTGTTTGCAAGAGGGAGGGAGGTTTCGGTGATGGGACATAATAATCAACTACATTGTATATTGACAAAAATAAAAATAAAAAAAAAACTTATTTACAGCATCAGAAGGAAATACATTCTTATTTATTCTTACTTCTTTTCCTGGAGGGTTTTCCCAAAGTAGAGTTGGTTCTCTTCTTTTCCTGGAGGGTTTTCCCAAAGTAGAGTTGTTTGCAATAACCACAGTATCTAGAAAATAAGAGATGGTAGTGAGAAAACAGAAATTAGTAAACAAAAGTTATAAATCTTAGGACAATCCACTCTGCAGGTGGCTTGAGTTTATGAAGATGTTTGGATTCTCATTCCTGTCTTTCTTCTAAAGGAACCGAAAACCTACTGAACTGAGAACTAAGAGTCTGGGATGGGCCTGGGTCTTATTTTCTTCTCAATGGGACTTTGAAAAAATACCCTTTACCTCCTGTGTACTTCAGATCTTCAAGAGTAGAAACTTGTCCTATCCTGTTCGTGTCTTCGTATTTTTGTGAGGATTAAATAAGATTTCATGTGGAAATTTTCATAGGAAATCACTATGTAAACCAGTGATCTGCTGAAGGATGTCCATTAAAACTATGTGCTGGGTTAACAAAAGTTAAGAATAGTTGATCTGAAGTCTTTCCCCTGGACAAGTAGGTAGCAGGACCAGTTGACTTTTGAGTGAGGCCTTTCTAAGGTTATGACAAAGTGACACTATCATCTACCAGCAGAAGTTCACTTGGCTTTCCTGGGTCCCATGGAAGACCAGGTGTCACTTAATACACTAATGAAGTATTTACAAAAACTGTCATTTCAAAGGGTACATTTGTACTACATCGTCCATATAGAATTAACAGAGCCCATCCTGGGAAACATGACTTTATAATGATTTCTTGCCCCCCTGCAGTTCGAAAAGGCTCACACCAAGTAGATGGAGAGAATAAGATTCCAGGATGGACCTGACCACCTGCCGCTGCTCTCCCTGGGATCTGTGGTACCCACCAAGCCACCCCCACCTGACACTTCTGGGCAGCCTTTCCTATCATGTCACATGCTTGGCTACTTTCCATCTGTGCTTCAGGGTTTTCTGGCACATCTTTTGAGAAACACATGACACAAGGACACTTCTCATTTCCTTGTGTTGGTTGCTCTGCTCCTGGGCCAGAATTGTGATTGATGAAGACTTTTCATTTGCCCCAGAGACCCTCTTTCCCCCATCCTTGCAGATCCCCCTTCTCTACTTCTTCCTCTGAAATCGCCTTTCATCGCCGCTTCCCACATCCAACTCTTCCTTTCAGTCTCCCCTTTTTTCACTGCCCTGTGTCTTCTCTTTATCAGAACTCTGTTTCCATTTTTACAACGTTTAATTCATAATTACCTCGTCCATCACAGTG